AAGTTCTTTTACCTACAATGTCACAGTTCATATCAATAACCTGTTAAAAATTGATCCAACATTATTACATTTAAAAGCAGAAACCTTTAAATGCCGCTATAAAAATATACTGCTGCAAACACAATAATTACTTTTTATTTCTACTCTTTTTTATTTTCTCATTTCTCTTTCTCCTTTTGTTTATCCTTTTCTGTTTCCTTTCCTCTTTCTTTCCCTTTGCATTAAACGTTTCTTATAATTTTAGAAAGCCATCTCAAAGTGCATTTTTTTATATCATATTGGCATTGGTGGAAGACCAGGGGTGGATAATATCCGCACCTGAACCAATTTGGGCCAATTGTCTACTGACTTTTTTTTTATATATATATTTTTAATTGTATATACTGTACTATATGTACTTTATATGTGGACAATAAATGTGTAATTATTATTATTATTATATGGCTTCAACTTCATTGCAGATAAAAGTGTTCATATTGAAAAACTTGCAGATCCAGAAATATACCAATTATGGGATATTGCAAATTCAAATTTTATTTAAATCTCATGTGCTGGTTGAAAAGGAAGTTAAAATACTGGGTGCAAATAAACAATTTGTTAAATATCAATGTCAATAATCCAAGATGTAAAAATCCAATTAAACTCATAAAAGCATAATACAAGGTATAGACAAAAATATGATAAATGGAATAATTAAATCAACATCATGGTTTATGGGATATCGTCACTAACGAAAACAAATTTTCTACCTGGAAAACAGAAGAAGCAAAAGCACAATGGATAAATAAAGACGCACAGATTTGCGTTTTCGCTCTAGTACTTATAATCCAGTAAACAACTGCAAAATATTGTAAATATGAGCCAACCATAAAAAAATAAAGGTTTATTAGAGAAATTGGAAGATTTAATAAATAAAAATTCATCTGAATACTATTAATACTTTTTTTAATATACATGAATGGTTAGTTTTTGTATCTTATTTCTATGTTCTGATAACAATTTTTTTATGACATAGTGTCATATACTTCCAACATGCCTCTATAAATAGTTCGACTAATGTGAGAGTTAAAAAGTGTTGTTAAACTTGTAAGTTTATTGAACATAGTGTTTTAGTCTACTTTTAATGTGACATCACTATACATGGTATATTATATTCTCCTAGAAAGGTCTTGGCGAGCTAATTTTCACCTAACCTAATCTTTATAAAACTGCACTATGTCGACATAGTTCAGTTTACCTCCCAGGTACTAATATTGGTAAATATTTAATACATACCTAACATAGACACAATTATTTAGTTTCTTGAATTAATTTAGGCCAGAGCAATATTTATTTTTTATTTCGTCTTTACAAAAACTGTAATGTAAGTTTAGCTTTAATTTTTTTGTAGCTATAAGCGATACCATCATTTAAGTAAAATCCTCACCGCTACACCAGTCTGACACTTTTTATCAGTACCTCTAGTATTTATAAATAGAGCATATTTCTACGACTTCAAATTCATTAAGCACCACCTACAAAATAAAACAATTATTATAAAATTATACTACGTTCAAGAAATTGTCATTCAAATAAAACATAATAAAATTATCAAACTTCTAAAATATCTTCTGGTAGGTGCAATAATTGTTCTTGGCTAGCCTACCATCTAAGATCTGTTTAAAATTGATACTTATATAGATTGCTTAAAGCGGGTCGTTTACGAGAGGCCATATTGCCTCGCAAGTGCTCGTTAATTAGAATCGATTTTGCAAAAATGTGCTTACAAAGTTTTAGCCTTTGAATATAGTAAAAATTACCTACATTTTTACTTTAAGGCATAAGCTTGTTTATTTTGAAAAATATAAATAAGCTTTATTCAAACCATAGTGAATGTATACAATCATGACAAGAAAATTATAAATTAAATAAAGCTAAAGCCGATAAGCATAAAGATACTTGTTTCGGCAAAAAAAACAACAAAAATATATGTAATTTCACAGATTGCGAACAAACATAAATTAATGTAAAACTTATGTACTAACTAGATGAATGATTGCTTGATCGATTTTTAATACCTATCTAATAATAACAATATCATTCCAATAATAACAACAATAACATCAATAAAAATAGATAATTTTAATTATAGTTATAGTAAAATATTATCTGAGTGATATAAACACATTCAAAAAACATAAAACACACAAAAATATGGATGATCAATCTATGTAAATATCTATTTCATTGACCTTGTCAAATCACCAGGCCTACAGGGTTCCCATAATTTTGCCATATCATAACCTGTCAAAACCCACTAGTAGCCATTTTGTTTGGAATGCTTAATTGGCATAAAAATGTTCGTTCTACGCCATTGTCTAACATAATTTGGTTTCTGTGACTGTCACTGTTGCAACTTTTGCTGGGTTCTTCTCTCGTGAAACGGGATCCATTACATAACCTTGTTTTGGCAGTAATTCGCATTGAACCTCTTTTAGACTAAAACTGCTAATTTTTTCTTAAAAAGTGCTGATTAAAGCAAAGGTTTTGTATGTGATTGATTTTATTTTTAATATTAAAATACGTCATACATTATAATGTTCTCATTGAGTATTACTTGAAGTTTTTTTCTTTATAATTACAGATTATCCATCGTCGCAGTCAGGATCTGACCAAAGTGGCAGAGGACATTTTAAAAGACATTTGTGTTTTAAGCAGTTTAACGATCAACAACTATCAAATCAAGCGACAATTGACTCTACTGAAAAACAATTCAAGTGTGATATTTGTTCTAAAAAATTTAATCGGAAATCGAATTTAATGAAACATTTAAAAATCCACTCCAATGAAAAGCCATTCAAGTGTGGCATCTGTTCCAAAAAATATAATCTCAAATCTAGCTTAGACAAACATTTAATAATTCACACTAATAAAAAGTTGTTCAAGTGTGATATTTGTTTGGCAGAATTTAATCTTAAAAGCAACCTACAGCGTCATTTAATAATTCATACTAATGAAAAGCCATTTAAGTGTGAAATATGTTCCAAAGAATTTAATTTGAAATACAACTTAAACCACCACATAAAAATTCACTCTAATCAAAAGCCATTCAAGTGTGACAGTTGTTTCAAAGAATTTAAATATAAAGCACACTTACAGCGTCATTTAATAATTCATACTAATAAAAAGCCATTCAAATGTAACATTTGTTCCAAAGTTTTTAATCTGAAATCAAAATTAAAGCAACATATAATAAATCACTCTGATAAACAGTTGTTTAGGTGTGAAATTTGTTCCAAAGAATTTAACATGAAAAAATACTTAAACCAACACAAGAAAATTCACTCTAATCAAAAGCCATTCAAGTGTGACATTTGTTCCCAAGACTTTTATCAGAAATCTAACTTAAAGCAGCATTTAATAATTCATACTAATAAAAAGCCATTCAAGTGTAACATTTGCTCCAAAGAATTTAAGTTAAAATCAAATTTAAAGCAACATTGTATAATACACTCTAATGAACAGTCATTCGAGTGTAATATTTGTTTGGCAGGATTTAAACATAAACGCAGCTTACTGAGGCATCTAATAATAATTCATGCTAATGAAGAGCTATTCAAGTGTAAAATTTGTTCCAAAGAATTTAATCTAAAATATAACTTAAACAGACATTTAAAAATTCACTTTAAGAGCTAACCGGACCTTCAGTTATAAACTAATTTTACCTCTATCTGTACTACTTTCTACGTCTCGCTCCGCGCTGACATTGTTGAAATTTGTAGTTAGCCATTTTTGTTATGTTAATTATATATTATAAAAAATAAACTATTATTGTTAATGTAATCAAAAAATAAAACTTTAATGTCGATGTAATAAAAAAAAAATAAAACTGTTGTCAATGTAATAAATAAAATAAAACGGTTAATGTCAATGTAATAAAAACATAAATAAAATTGTTAATGTCAATGTAAGGTAAAAAAAATAAAACTGTTAATGTCAATATAATAAAAAAATAAAACCTCGTTCCAGAAGATATAAAAGATTTTATTAGCAGTAAAAGTAAAGGTAAAATACTTCATCTGAACAAGTTATGGACCTAGTATATTCTGAGTAAAATAAAAATCGTTAAAGTAAAAACAACAAAATTAAAATAACCAAAAAAGGTTGACAACTGTGTTTACGTAGTTTAGATTCAAAAGGAAAGACTTGTATTTCGTGCAAAACTTTTTAATTAATAAATGCAAAGCGCTTTCGGCATTGTGCAATCATAAGTGCTTATCTACAAAAATTGTGGATGTAAACTTACAATTTATAAATATGTGTAAAAATAAAATCTGAGTAAGATTTTTAAGTCAAAAGTTAAAAATATATATAAGGTAATTTTTAAAAATTAACAATTAAAAGATAACAAACAAAGTGACAACCCAGTGTTGTCCTTTTTTGAAGCAAAATGTCCTTGTGACGTTAAAGCTTAAAATGTTATTTTTTGCGGCAAATATCTTTTTACAGCACATATCTTTGGAAGGGACATGGTTTGTACAAAAATAGATAAGCTGAGGACCTTTTAAAGTGGCAACCCTAATGACAGTTGGTAAAGGGAAAATCTTACATGGCATTTTACCAGGAGTTTAATTTTTTACTGATTATATTCAAAGTACAAATGTCATTTTCAAAACTATATTTGATAATAAACGATGATTATTATTTTTGTAAACAAAGATAGTTATCCTTACTCTACACTACATACCTAGTACTTAATAAATAAATTTTGTTATTTATATATAATTCAAATGGCAAATAAATTCACGTAAAATATGTTTTAATTCTTGTACATCTACTAGCATCATACAACCTCGGGAAATCCTCATACATCCTTTCAAATCCTCCTTTTTGTACACCTCCATCTACAGTGGTTTACCCTTGGTTTTAGTCAATAATTATTTTTAATATTGCAATACTTGTATGTCAAACATTATAATCTAATTGAGTGATTATTATTTGAGGTTTTTTTATATTTGCAGATTATCCATCTTCGCAATCAGGATTTAACCAAAGTGAAGAAGGTAATTTTAAAAAATATTTGTGTTGTAAGCAATTTAGCGATCATAAATCAAATCATGTGACAATTAGTTCTAATGAAAAACAATCTATTGAAAAACAATTCAAGTGTGCCATTTGTTCCAGAGAATTTAAACACAAATTTGGCTTAAACAGACATTCAATAATTCACTCTAATAAAAAGCCATTCAAGTGTGACATTTGTTCCAGAGAATTTAAACATAAAAACAACTTACATTGTCATTTAATAATTCACTCTAATAAAAAGCCTTTTAAGTGCGATATTTGTTCAGAAGAATTTAATTTCAAGTCTAACTTAAAGAATCATTTAATAATACACACTAATGAAATTCCATTCAAGTGTGACATTTGTTCCAGAGAATTTTATTTAAAGGCTAGCTTAAAGAAACATTTAATAATTCACACTAATAGAAAGCCATTCAAGTGTGACATTTGTTCCAAAGCATTTAAACATAAAAACAGTTTACAGAGACATTTAATAATTCATAATAATTAAAGTCCAAGGCCATTCTAGTGGGATATTTATTCGAAAGAATTTCATCTGGATACGCATTCACTAACTCATGAGAGTTCCTACACGACTGCTCCATCACCAGTGTTGCCAGATGACCAAAATCAAATTGTTGTAGAATTTTTTTGTAAATGTGATTTCACATCGAATTATTTGTTTAAATTTTTTTTAGGGAAAAATTAAAAAAAGAAATAACAGAATATGAATTGTATTTACTTTTTTTGCTTACAATTGCTTTGTGAGTAGAGGTAGGTGCAGGCATTGCTTCATACAAAAAAGAAGTAGATTAAATTTCTTTTAAAATCTTGAATTCCTGAATCCCTACTTTTAACGAACGTATCTTTGTCGCGTGCATCTAATAATAAGAACATATACAATAAGAAGACGAAGCAATGACTTCTTCTTGTAGCTACGACCGGCATAGTCTCCAGCGGCCTGGACACAAACAGTAGGTACATAAGTTCCGACATGCCGTAATTAACGCACATCATGAAATGAAATAAGAAAACGGATATCTTGATTACTACAAATGTTTTCACTTCGCAATCCAAGTTCATCTGCCGGCCAGACACTGCCCGTTCAGCAGAAAAATCTGATCGGGATCTGTTTCAGATCAATTTGCAACAGTTTTATAGTCTGCTAAACAGTATTTTTTTGCGTTTTGAGCAAGAAACTAGTTACATTTGACATTTGGAGTGAATTTTCATATTTTCTTGTTCAGTGTTCTAATTTTCTTGTTAGTATTTTTTGCTTTCTCATTTCCCAGTTTAATATTTTTACTTTCAATAAATTTTGTCACCGCCCCCTATACTCACTTTCAGTAAATAACACCTTTGTTAGTACACTATTTATCCGCTAAATTTAAAATTTACAGTTTACTACATTGATTCGTTAAAAAATCTAGATAGATGTCTTGAGAGTCTGATAATTTTTACTTTTATTAATTGACGTTATATCCTTAAAAATTTTAAACTGTTTGTGCTTGTAAAAACTATTTTGTGTTGTTTAGTTAATAATAGTCTTACATGTGTTTTAATTAATTTATTCAAACAGACATCTCGCGGTTTAACCTTACCTACAATATTTTTAAAAAATACTATTGTATTACATATGACTTTTTTAACTCGTTTTGTTAAACTTTATGTAGCGCTTCCTTTATGGAAATAGTCAAGGTTATTGTTTAACTTCTTTTGTGTTTTTTCTGTTATTTTGTATATGTTAAAGTCCGTTCATGCTTTTATAATTGTTTTTTATTACAACTGACTCCTTGACATTCCATTTAGGTGTGCCTGATGATGAAGTGACAGCTTCGAAACCGGTCGCCAATTAAATTGACTTGTGAGAAATAAAGGACCTTTTCTTTAACCCTTACACTTAAACATTTGACATTTATTAAAGTCATTTAACTAACCTCCAAACTCCAAATTTATGATCGATTAAATATTATTGTAAAATTCACTACTAGATGATTTTCTTTAGCAGTCACCTGAACTTTGAAGTTTGATCGAGATCTAGGTCAAATAACTCTAGAACTTCCATGTTTTAAATCGGCACCCTCGTCTTTAATCTATTTTTAAGTTGATCTTAACCTCAAAAACAGAATACGCAATACGTTTACTAGAAAGGTAGCATAAATTTAATACGCTTCAAAAAATGACGACTGATCCGACAACTGTTTCGCGCAACGTTGAGAAAAGTTGAATATTCACATCCGATGCATTTTTTACATCTCGAGCGTTTGTTTATCTATATCGGACACACCTACATCTGCGTTTGTTTATTCGATATGTTACCTGTCTAGATCAGTGTTGTTCCTAGGGATTTTTGAATTGTACAACTTTCAGTGTCAAAATTGTGCACTTTTACTTTCGATTGTACAACCACTAATTAATCTTCTTCTTTTTTATTGACAGACTATGGCCTACTACTTTCCCATGCTTAAAATTCTTCTTTTTTCCAGTTTAAAATATATATTTGATGTAAAACAGTGTACTGATTGGTCGCGAATGGCGCCAAATTTAAACTTTTTTTTTTATTAATTTTAATGCATGCAAATCGTAGACTTTTTGAGCGAAGAAAACCTTTTATATACCCGATTTTACATAAATATTTAGCAATTTCAAATTGTACAACATTTCTGTCTTTTTTCAAAAGTGCGTACAACAGTACAACCGCATAACTGATTGTACAACTTTTTGTACAATTGTACAACCAGGAACAACACTGGTCTAGATTACATTTTTTACATCTCGATTTGAAATGAGATGTGATTAAAATGTTCGTTCCATGCCAGAAAGTAAGTGTTCTGTGAATCAAAGTTTATCAATTTATCCTTTGTTTATGCTAGCATGAATATAAAAGTGATTAGTTTGTTTAATTTTTGTTTATATTTCAAATTTAGGTTGATTTGTAGTCTCAAAAGTCAAATTAAAAAGTAGGTATATACTTCTAACTTGTCATTGTCATTTTATCACGTGACCAATAAAGTCTAGAGCGTTTAACAATGGCCGTGTTCATCGTCGCCAAACTTAGACAAGGAAAGAGAGAGGACTGGTAACTGTACGTGTAAAATTGTTACCGCTTGCCACATCGCCGATAGACTCAGTGGCGTGTCATAAAGGATGTAATATATTTTTCCGAAACAATTGTTTACATTTTTAGTTTTCTGAGACGTCTAAATTATTTCGATATTTTTATAACGTAATAAACATAGCTAAATTATTTACCGATGTGTTTTATATTTACAATTTTGTATGATTTTGATGGATAGTATTTATACTAGCTGCTCAACAAAAATTTAAAAACTTACGAATTCAAGTGATAATAAAATACAATATAGCTTATACATATCTTTAATAATAGTCATTATAGAAAATGCACACAAATAATAAACAAACAAAAAAAGTTAGACATACCGAAAAATGTAATACTTACAAATATATACATTTTGTGAAGGTAAGAATGCAATGGAAAATAAAATACAACAGTTTATATATATATATTTAATATTATTAGTAAAAAAAAACAAAATGAACACAAATGTTAAACAACAAATATTTTAAAGACCTAGCAAAAATATAATACCTACAAATATATACATTATTTTATTGGCCTTTAAAATGAATAAGTTTTGTCAATTGGTTTCGAATAGGATCTAATTTTTTAAATGAGTACAATATGTTAAAATAAGCACAACAAATATAAAGGATTATTAAAATGCAAAAACAATTAAATATATACCTTCTTAGGTTGCAGATACTTTGGTAACTGAGGAAAAACTGTTGGAACAGCTTGATTGAGCAAACGAACTCTTGAATTAGAATCAGTTTTATAAAACCAACATCCTTCAAAGTGTTTTGAACACAGCCTGTCAGTTTTAGATGGCTCCCATTCCTTAATTTTCATATTTTCTAACCAAAGTTTCTGTTTTTCCAAATCTTTAGGAAAACTGTAAACAAAATAAAATAATCATAATATATTTTCCTAGGTGAGAATTACTGCTTTCGATTCTAAACCAAAAATCTACTAAAATATGTTTTAACATAGTTTTGGAAAAAATTAAATATAAATTGCCTACGCCTCTGGTACAATGATCGTTTTAACCAACGAAAATATGTTTATTATGCTAATAATGAATGAAAATGATTAAAATATTTCATTAAAAAACTCTGATTAGGCGAATTAATGACTATATTACATGCAAAAACATAATATTTCAGAGATTACTGCTAATTACGAAAAAAACAAACAAATTATAAGTAAACTTGTTGTTCACCATTGTATTTTTTACCTGTGAAATGAAACTCCTGGCTCCTTTTTCTCGCTGCGACTTGGGCATCCGTATGCAGAACAATTCACCATTATAAAGAGTTCAAAATTGACTCACTAATTCACTTTTTTCACTTATAAATTCACAAAATAAATACACCTTCTATTCGCTTTGTCTGCCACATATAAAATGGCCGCTGTCGTGAGTTGGTAACAGTAGACAAGCGTAAGGATAAAGCAGTGCGCGGTATCCCCTCTATTACCTAATCTAAGTCGCCAAACATGTTGTAACGCTGAGTAAGCGGTGACGATGAACTGTCAACCGCTGCAGCCACAAAGCACGTATCTTCTAGAGACCCCACGCCAATGTTAAACTTTTAAACCAAATTGGCGCCACCTTGTGTTTGGAGCTGGAACTAAAATGACAATTGACAGATGGCGGTAAATTCAAATTGTAATTGTTAGGAGTAGGTAGTAGTTTTAAATTAAATTTTAAATGATTTCCACATAAATTATTTTATAAAATAAAGAATGGAACTAGTAAGTTCGAAACTTTTATTTTACAAAATAATTTAGGTCGATTATACCAAATTTGAGGAATTAATTTGTTATAAGCAGGGGTCTGATGTGAATAGTTGGTTCTGCATATTATTATTAAATAAATATAAGATATATCAATAAACAATAAAAAAGAACATTCTTAAA